AGATAGATAGATAGATAGATAGATGGGGTGTATGGGGATAGATAGATAGATAGATAGATAGATAGATAGATGGGGTATATGGGGTATATGGGGATAGATAGATAGATAGATGGGGGTAGGGAATAGGTGGATACACAACATTTAGATATTCTGCAAAGTTTTACAAAACTTCATGGCAAAATTATTTATTATTTCTGCTGCATTAGCACCCAGAGGCCCCAGTCATAGAGCAGGGCTCTACTGTGTTAGATACCGTACAACAAGCCATAATAAACAGACAGTCTGTGCCCTGAGGAGCTCCCATCTAAGTATAAAACCAGAGACAACAGGAGACACCCATTGTCAAGTTTCCTGTGCGCATCACGGCAAAGAAGAGTTTTAAGGAGGCCTTTGAAGGAGAACCACAAGGTGGCTTTGTGCATGTTAACTCACTTTGCGTATGTACTTTAATGCAGCAAAATAAATGTTTCCTGGTGTGTGTGGGTGGGTAGGTGTGTGTCTGTGTGTGTGTGTGTGCGCACGCGTGTGCAAACACTGAGTTTATGGTGAGTGCAGAGGATCCAGGAATTAAAGTAGACTAGAAATAAAAGTGAAATTCGTAAATCTATATTCATGGACCAAGCTGAAGGAAACATAAAAAGCAAACAAACAAATTGCACGCAGGCTGAAGCAGAAATTAGATTTTTTAAATGTTCCCAATTTTTGGTGAGTTTTCACCAACCCGGGTGCATTTTTTTTTTAGGACATGATCTCTAGCGTGACAGTCTCTTTGACGGGGGCTCAGTTTCCCCATTTGTAAAAGAGGGCTCATCATGCTAGGGCTCGAAGTGAGCTGCAGTGAGTTATTCCAGCACCGCCCGGGGAGAGCAGTTACTCCCTTCCAGAGCTACTTTTCAAGGTACAGATATTGGCCTCAAGTCTGAACCGCCCCCGATATGCACTGAGCACAGTGAAGGGACGAGGGTACATCAAATTCAAGGTCTTGGTCCTTGTTCAACGGCCTGCGCCCAGCATCTCTTAAAGATCACCTCAAAGTCTGGGCTGAAGACCATGGTCAACAACTCAACTCCCCTGGCCCAGTGGAACGCGCGACATTAAGGGCAAAGCGCAGCAGTGAGGGAGACAGAGCGTACTTGTGGTCCAGCCTGAGACTGTGAAACAGACTCCCCAGAGCTAAGGACCATCCCAAACTTCTCCCCCCTGCGCTCCAAGTGCGCAGTGCATTTCTTTGACCGGCCTCCTCTAACATAAACATGAAAATATGACCACGATAAAACACCTTCCCACACACACTTCTCCTCCTGGGGAGGGGATGAGAACAAATGTGTGACAGCCGTTAACGTAATGCACTACAGGAAGGCGCTCAGAGACTATGGTGCTGAGCCTGGTGTAAGACACTGAGTAGTGCAAGGGAGCCATTGATATCTCCTCAGTCCTATGGCCGGTACAGTTCAGAGCAGCCTCGGGGCTGCTCTAAACACCACCAGTGGAATATGGCCCCAAAGGTCCAGGTCCCCTGCTGGGGATTGCTGGAGCACAGTAACATTCTGACCATGCTCCTTTCCTCCTGTCAAGTCCCCAGTACCCCCCATACCAAGGACTGGGAAAGGGGCCAGAAGTAGGAGCTGGCTACACTGGCTCCATGACACTCAGGGATTCCCCCACTCCTGAGGAATCCCCACATTTTAATCTACTGGTTTTTTGTCTCCTTTGTGCTGCCAGAGTAGCCCAAAAGGACAATATCGCAGGAGAGACTCTCAGCCCTTCCAGTTTTGTTGGTTGTGAAGAAAGCTTGGGAGGGTGATGTGATGCAAGCCAGGGCTCAGAGGAGGTAGCTCAGCCAATAGACCATTGCCAGGAGAATCAAGGTTGAGGTCCTTCGATGGCCACATGCAGGACATCCTGTCATATCCAGCTGCTAGATGGGGAACTCCCTTAGGTCTTGCTCTAGTGTGTGGCTCCTACCTGACAGGCATTCAGAAGAGAGGGTTTTTTTCTGAGGAAAAGTTACACAGAAAGTTGCGACCAACACCACAATCATTTGCACCACCCCATCCTAGTACTTTCCAGACCCGGGGGCTAGCAAAGCAAAGCAGGACAGCGAGAACTAATTTAGGGTCAATACCATTTATCCTTCCCTGCCTTAGACTAGCACAGTTGGAGAGGCCATAGTCACCGGAGACTCCCATCTGGTGGAGAGATCCCAGAAGATTTAACTGGGGTGAATTATAAAGACTCCTGCAATGTTTGTCCTGACATTTCAGAGTCACGCCTGCACACAGGCAGAGCACCCCAAAGAGATAAGGAGGGACAGCCACAAGACCCGCATGGAGGTAGGTGACTGTAGGGTTATTTGGATGGAACGGGGGGAGGCAGGGCGAGAAAGGCTCATTGGAAAGTGCTCTGTTGCCGGGTGACTGAGAGGGAGCTAAGTTAAACGGCAGTGTTTCTCCCAGGCTTTGCAGACTGAGGCTGCTTCAGCATTTGCAGTGTGTGTGATCTCACAATTAGAGCTAGGCCAAAAACAAACAAAAAAAGCAATTACGCTTTGGTGGACATTTTTAATTTATTTTTTCATTTCCCCCCCCAAAATTTACGATGAAAATGTTTCCATTTTTCAATGAAAAATCAAAACCAAAAACAGGAAATACTCCCTTTTTGAAATCTGTTTTCAGTTACAATTTTTGTTTTCAGTTAAAAAAAAACTATTTAAAAATAAGAATCAAACATTTTTACCAAAAAAATATTTTTGTATGGAAAATTGAATGTTCAGGTTTCTGTGTCAGGGTTGTTGTTTTTTTCAGCCACAAACCAGAAAATCTGGAGCAAAATGAAAATGTTCTGCAAAAGTTTCATTTTGCTTGAAAAGTCATTTTTCACTGGAAAAATATTTTAACCAAAAAATGTTGACTGGCTTTACTCCCTGTGTGTAGGGAAAACGCGTCCTGCCCTGAGGGAAATCCCAGAATTTACAGCTAATAAATGATTAGAAATAAGTTCCCGAGAGAAGATGTGACATGGAGAATGGCGAGGCAATAGCACTGAAGACTAAAGCATGACTCCTGTTTTTAAAATGAAATGGACCAGATCATTGAAGTTAGAAACCATAATGATAAACCTGCCCCAACCAGAGTTTCTGAACCCCAGAAAGAAAGAAGAATCAAAGCTTCTAAATCCCTTGAGGATTTGGCTATTAACCATCTATTTTATGTGGAAAGTGCAGAGATGTGGCGATGGTGGGATTCATTACAACAGCCTGAGATGGGTGGATGGATGGAAATGTTCTCGTTGCTTATACACCAATGCTAGGAGTCTTGGTAATAAGCGAAAGGAATTGGAATTCTTACCAATGAAAAGATATGTGATATAATTGGCATTACTGAAACCTGGAGGGACAGTTTGCATGATGGGAATGTTAAAAACACTGGTTACAACCTGTTTAGCAAGTAAAAGAGGTGGGGGGGGTTATGGTGAAGGTGCTGTATAAATCCATGGTACACCCACATCTTAAATATGGCGTGCAGATGTGGTCGCCCCATCTCAAAAAAGATATATTGGAATTGGAAAAGGTTTAGAAAAGGGCAACAAAAATGTACAGGGGTATGGAACGGCTGCAATATGAGGAGAGATTAATAAGACTGGGACTTTGGAGCTTGGAAAAGAGGCGACTAAGACGGGATATGATTCAAGTCTATAAAATCATGACTGAGGTGGAGAAAGTAGATAAGGAAGTGTTGTTTACTCCTTCTCATAACACAAGAACTAGGGGTCACCAAATGAAATTAATAGGCAGCAGGTTTAAAACAAACAAAAGGAAATATTTTTTCACACAACAAACAGTTAACCTGTGGAACTCTTTGCCAGAGGATGTTGTGAAGGCCAAGACTATAACAGCGTTCAAAAAAGAACTAGATAAATTCATGGAGGATAGGTCCATCAATGTCTATTAGCCAGGATGGGCAGGGATGGTGTCCCTAGCCTCTGTTTGCCAGAAACTGGGAATGGGGGACAGGGGTGGATCACTGGATGATTACCTGTTCTGTTCATTCCCTCTGGGGCACCTGGTATTTGCCACTGTCGGAGGACAGGATGCTGGGCTAGATGGACCTTTGGTCTGACCCGGTATGGCCGTTGATAGAGATAGATAGATAGATAGATAGATAGATAGATAGATAGATATCAAACTTTTAATTGTTCACAACCTTGATTATGTTCTTAACTCACAGTTCTGGATGCACCAGCTGTAATTTGCAATGATCAAACAGCTGCAATTCTCGCTGGTTCATTTTGCCATGGACATATCGGGCTAGATTCACCCCTGGCACAACGCACTGCAGTGGCTGATCAGGGAGTAGCCAGGTCTGTCTGCTGTCTCCAAAACATTATCTTGTGTCCTCAATCCTCATCTTCCTCTTCTTACCTCCGAGTATGGGGTGGGATCCTCGCAGCGGCTCATGGGTCTCCCGGTTGCACTTGGTTCATGGAAGATGGCTGGGGAAAGAGGGCAGGGCAGGGAAGTCTCTGTGCCCTAGTCTCCCCATCGGTCAGTACAACAGCAACTGTGGGCCCCAGCTGAGATCAGAGCCTCACCGGGCTAGGAGCTGTACATACACATGTGCATGCTAGAGAGTCCTTGCCCTGAAGAGCTTAGAAAGGAAATAGACAACAGACAAGGGGGGGAAACTGAGGCACAGAGCAGGAAAGCGACTGGCCCAAGGTGACCCAGCATGCCAGTGGCAGAGCCCAGGGCAGCATTCAGGTCTCCTGACTTGCTGTCCAGTGCCCTCCCTACTAGACCACTGTGCCTCTCCAGACCATGCTGCCAATTTAGGAGCATAACTTAAGGCACCGAGCTTTGAACAGTCTGGCGTGAATAAACCAAATGAGCTCATGCTGGGTTTGAAAAATGTCCAGCGCCCTGAAAAAATCCCAGCCCTTCTATTATTGTATTGCAGGGAAAGAACTTCTGCAAATCGACTGATCCGCGTCTGCTGTAGGTCATGTCAACCTTCAATCAGACCTGTCCTAATCCCTCTACGTTCCTGCTGACCGGCATCCCTGGCCTGGAACCTGAGCACGTCTGGATCTCCATCCCATTCTGCCTCATGTATGTGATTGCTCTGCTAGGAAATGGTACTGTCCTCTTCGTTGTAAAGCAGGAGGAGACCCTCCATGAGCCCATGTACTATTTCCTGTCCATGCTGGCTGTCATTGATCTGGTCTTCTCAACTGCCATTGTCCCCAAAATGCTGAGCATCTTCTGGCTGGATTCCAGAGAGATCAGCTTCGAGGCTTGCTTCCTCCAGATGTTCTTCATCCACACCTTCACTGTAGTGGAGTCAGGGGTGCTCTTGGTCATGTCTTTAGACCGATACGTGGCTATCTGCAACCCCTTGAGATACAATACTATCGTAACCAGCCCAAAGATTGCCCAGATTGGGCTGCTGTCACTTGCTAGGGGGGTGGGGGTCGTGACGCCTTTAACCTGCCTTCTAACCAGTCTGCCCTACTGTAAAATGAATGTCATCCCTCATTCCTAGGGTTAGGGTTAGGGTTAGGGTTAGGGTTAGGGTTAGGGTGAAGGGTTATCAATTTGTTCTTCATCAACATCAGCTTCATTATACAATTTTTTTCCTTTTCCATCAGGAAACATGGTTCATATAATTGACCTCGGAGGCATCGGTTTGCAGTATAAACTCCTTCTCAAAGGCTGGGGCTACTAGCACTGCATTACTGCAGAGGGCAGTCCCCAGATCTGTAAAAGCCTCTTCAGCTGCGCTGGACCATTTCACTATGTCTGGGCCCCGGGCTTTTATCAGATCCATCAACGGGTATGCTGTGGTAGCAAAGTGGGGAATGAATCGCCTATAGTACCCAGCTATCCCCAGGAATTCTCTGACCTGTTTCTTCCGGATTGGTCAGGGTCTACTTTGGGTCGCCTCCAACTTGTTCAGTTGGGGCTTCACTACGCCCCTCCCCACAATGTACCAAGGTATTTGGCTTCTGCTAGGCCTGTTGCACATTTGGAGGGATTCGCAGTGAGATCCACCTTCCTCAGGGTATCCAATACAGCTTCCACCTTTTCTAGGTGCATCTCCTAGTGTGGGCTATGTATGATGACATCATCAAGGTAAGCAGCCACATACTTGCCATGTGAACACAACAGCTTATCCATGAGCCACTAGAAGGTGGCCCCATGTAATCCAAAAGGGAGGACTGTGTACTGGTACAATCCTCTGGTGTCGAAAAGGCCATCTTCTCTTTGGCTTCCTTGGCCAGGGGGATTTGCCAATAACCTTTGGTCAGGTCAAGGGTGGACAAAAATCGTGCTTTTCCCAACCGGTCGATTAGCTCGTCTACTGGCTTAGTTACCAGGACAATTGGACTGGACCATTGACTCCTCAATGACTCCCAGCTCCAGCATTCTCACAACTTTGGTCCTGATCTCCTCCCTTTTTGCTTCTGGGATCAGGTATGGCTTAACATTCACCTTTACTCCAGGATCTGTGATGATGCGACGATGAACCTCTGTGGTCCTGCCTGGCTTCTCCAAGAACATGTTGTGGTTCCATTCAATCATATTGATGACTTCTGCTCGCTGTTCAGGGGGCAATTCAGGGGATATCCCCACTTGACCCTGCTTTCTTGGGGTGGCATCTCTAGGGTGACCAGATGAGCTTTTCTGTCTTGCCATAGGTTTATATGGTAGATCTGTTCTGGCTTCCGGCGATCAGGCTGTCGAACCTTATAGTTGACCTCTCCAATGGCTTCTATTACTTCATATGGCCCCTGCCATCTGGCCAGGAGCTTGCTCTCGGCAGTGGGCACCAGCACCATTACCCGATCTCCCACCTAGAATTTCCGGGCCATCGCTCGGCAATTGTAATAGGTTTGTTGGGCCTCTTGTGCCTTCTCCATGTGTTCCCGCACTATGGGAGTGACTTGGGCTATCCTGTCTTTCATCTGCATCACATACTCAATGATGCTTCTTTCCTGGTTAGGCTGCTCTTCCCAGCTCTCCTTAGTGATGTCCAGTATGCTGCAGGGGTGGGGACCATATAACAGCTTGAAAGGGGAAAACTCGGTTGAAGTCTGGGGAACCTCCCTTATAGCAAACATCAGGTAGGGTAGTAAGGTGTCCCAGTTCTTCCCATCCCGGCTCACCACTTTACATATCATTTTCTTCAGTGTCCTATTAAAGTGTTGAACAAGGCCATCGGTCTGTGGGTGGTAGACTGACGTTCTTAGGGCCCGTATGTTTAGCATTGCACACAAGTCCTTCATCAACTTTGACATGATGGGGGTTCCTTGATCCGTCAAGGAATCTCATTACCCTTAAATTATCGTTCGTTTTTGCTTGTGATTTTCTCTGTGCTGAGAGGAGGGGGGGGCGGGCTGATTACCCCAGGCTCGCCATCGCCAGAGGGGGAAGTGCTAAGTCAGGCAGCATGAAGGAGGTGTTTTGTCCCACTCATTATAACTTCCAGAGCATAAGGATCCAGTGAAGTCAATGGAAAGAATTCGATTTAGTTTATGAGTTTAGGAATAGGCTCTCAATGATCTGTACAATTAGTCTCGGCAATGTTTTGGAAGCTGACCTAATGCCAAATGGCCTTTGCTTATAACTGTGGGACCTGATCCAAAGCCCATTGAAGCCATAGAGTCATAGAGATTAAGACCAGAAGGGACCCCTGGATCATCTAGTCTGACCTCCTGTCTATCACAGGCCACGAGCACCACCATCAGCGGTACACTAAACCCAACGACCGAAATTAGACCAAAGTATTGCAGTGCTATAAGAGTCAGCGAAGTTAGCAACATGAAGAGTGACTAAGTACAGAATGATCAGCTCGTGCAGGTAGCATTTCAGAAAGAGAAAACCAGGAACAAAGACAGCAAAATACCAACCAAAATAAGAATAATTTTTTTGATGAGCAACCATTCCTAGGCACTGTGTATAGGTCCATCCTGGCCAGAATTTAGTCAACTATGCCACTAATGCAACAGGAAATACGTTCTTCAAAGGTAGGCCAAACAGCTAAAACCAAGAGTCTACATGGTTGGAGGACTGGAAATAAGGGCCTCAGATCGCTTGGTAGTGACAGTGACTGCAAAACATACTGCTTTACTTTGATAAATACCTCTAAATAGTAACAGCAGGGGGCTATTTTTCAAATGGGATACTAGTGTGCAATGCAATGTTATTCCAAGGAAGATGTATGATGCTGTCATTAAGGAAACCATTGAGAAATCCTAAGTGAAGGTTGTTTCCTATGCAGGACTTAAACTACCAGTTACACTCAAAGTTGGATTTTATGAACACCTGTCTTATGAATGACCAATTATATGAACCATGTTTCCTGATGGAAAAGGAAAAAAATTGTATAATGAAGCTGATGTTGATGAAGAACAAATTGATAACCCTTCACCACCACCACCACCCCGCCAATGCCTTCAGTGCTTTGGAAATCATTTTGCAGTGGTTTTGAAGAACAAGAAGAAAGCCGTGCAGTGCATCATACTGCAACTTATGCACTGAGCCTACTGCAATTTTGAGATGTTCAACGTTATGAACTTTCGATTTTGTGAACTGATCAATCCGCAATTAATCTGTCAAATAGGGGATCTACTGTACAAGGGCAAAGAACCATCACAACTTGTTTTAAGAACCAGTATCAGTTAACAGCTTTCCAAAGAGTAAGTGCAGATATACTATCTATTTTAGGAGTTAAAATCTGCTAGCCGTAAAATTAGTTTAAAATGTATTGAAGTTAAACAAGTATTTGCTGTAAAATGTGGACCTATCTATCTAATCTATCTATCTATCTAACTATCTATCTATCTATCCTAATACACTCCCTATCTATCTATCCTAATACACCCCCATCTATCTATCTATCTATCTATCTATCTATCCTAATACACCCCCTATCTATCCTAATACACCCCATCTATCTATCTATCTATCTATCTATCTATCTATCCTAATACACCCCCATCTATCTATCTATCTATCTATCCTAATACACCCCCTATCTATCTATCCTAATACACCCCATCTATCTATCTATCTATCCTAATACACCCCCATCTATCTAATCTAATCTATCTATCTATCCTAATACACTCTCCTATCTATCTATCTATCTATCTATCCCCATCCACCTCCTCTATCTATCTATCTATCTGTCTATCTATCTCCATACACACCCATCTCTCTCTCTCCCCCCTCCCCTCACCCCCCACATATACACCTAGCTAGCTGGCCAGACCCTCTGCTGGTTTAAATGGGGGTAGCCCCCGTGTTTTCAGTGGAGCTTCCCCAGCTTACACCAGCTGGAGCCTGTTCGGTGTTTGCGCACAGAGTCCAGTCCGGATGATGGCAAGACCTATGGAGAGTTAATGTTCAGCCGTGGGGGGGTTCTAAACTTAGCAGCATGTTGGTGTGTGGAAAGGGCCAGAGCTGCAGCTTCTCCCCGCGGGCTGAAGTTCCCCAGTGGGCCGGGCGTTGGAGGAGCTATAAATACTGGCATGCTCTGAGCCTGGCATCCCCGGGAAGTTACCACCAAGCCTTGCAGCTATTGCCGAACGATGCTGACCAGGTGACTGAGCAGGCTTCGGATCTCCAGTTCCCTGAGGCAGCACGGCTACTGCCGTCATGGCTGAGAAGTGAGTTGACTTCGTGCTGTAACAACGTGCTTCTCGTGGCACAGGTAGATGACGAATGTTCACCATAACCCGGTTCAGCTGAGCCCAGGAGGGGCAATGTATTGAATAGAAAATATCTCTCTCCATCTCCAGTAATTATATGGCCCCAGCACCACAGTAGCTGAGAGCCTCATGGTCTATGATGGATGGATCCTCACTCACCCCTGTAATCACCAATGTATACTTGGGGAAACTGAGGCACAGGGAGACCAATGACTAAATGACCTGCCCATGGTCACATAGGGGAGAGTGTAGCAGAGCTGGCAATTCAACAAGCTCTCCTGAGTCCCTGCCTAGTGCCCTAACCACTGGACCATCATTTCTGAGCCTTTGGGTATATTTAAAGAGTGGTGCAGTACGTGCACTGTTGGTGCCATGTGTTATAGCCTGTGTAACGTATAGCACATAGCAGACTTTGTCCCATCAGTGATCAGTCAGCTCGCACGGCTAGAAAGTCATCCCTGGAACTCCCGCCTTGCTTTCCAACTTTCCTGCCCTCAGCACTGTGGGGCAGCTACAGTGGATTGAAATAGCGCGGGGGAGGAGGAGGGGGAGTGCTGCTTACTCAGGCGAGGGAGCAGAGGGGGCCCTCCCCTGTGTTATTAGCAAAGACGGGGAGCCTGTGCTCCCCTTGCACCACCTTGCTTTAACCAGCGGATGAATGAGCATGGAAGAAAAATTAAATCCCACCTCATTAACTAAGATAGAGCTGGTCGGAAAAGAACGAGTTTGATTATTTAATCGTACCTGAAATGTATTCCAAAAGTTTACTTATTTTGATAGGCCACAGTGTGTATCTGTGTCTATGTCTATACATAACATATACTGTCTG